GTCCTCCTCTTTACCTTTATAAACTACCTTAGATCTGTCTACACAAATCCGTTTTTCTACAAGGTAGGTCGCTAATTTTCTTTCGATTTCTTCCAAGATCTCCTTTTTCTAGTGCTTAATGCAATCCTTCTTCATGGAATTTCTTCAATTTCAGGCTCCTTCCTCGGCCTAAAAGGAACAATTATTGTAGGCCGAAGAAGTTCATCATAGACCTCCCTCACAGTCTGCCTGTCAAGTGTAGATCTGGTGCAGGTAGTAATTCCAGAAGGTCTGTCATAGCGATCCATCCCAAAGAAACGAATAGTCCCAATATCTTCATCATAATAATGAGCTTCTACTACATTGTTATTTGCTACGAATGGCTTGTCATTTGCTGTCACAACCTCAGTTTTGCCGCCATTCTAGAATATTAACTTGTGATGCAAAGTTAAAGGAACACACCAGCTGGAATATATCCAATCTCTCCCAAATAATGCATTATAAGTGGCAATAGTGTCAACCACAAAAAATGCACACATGAGAGTTCTATTTCCAACAGTGAGTTCTACCGGTAGAATTTCCCTTGAGCGATTTACCCCACTAGTAAAGTCACTAATTGCCACTTCTGTCTCCATTAAATCACCCAAAGATTTGCTAATTTTGTGCAGCATACAGGTTGGCAAAACATTGACAGCTGCACCATTATCAACCAGAACCAGAACTCGATTTATCGGCATACCATCAAGATGTGCATGAATGTATAATGGCCTAATATGTTTAGCCATCCTTTCTTCTGGTTTTTCAAAAATGATTTTATCTATTGAATCCACACCTCCATCTTTCTTAGCTGGGATCTCAATGATTCCTCCTTCCTCTGTTTGATTTGTTTGCTGACAGACTACAGATTTTGACTGTTCTCTAGCTTGAAAGACCAAAGGAAGAGTGATCACCAAACAAGATAGATTCACAAAAAACTCACCAAAATGAATTACATCTGATGAAGTTTTCACTTTATCTGACACATCAAACTTCGCCTTCAAACCAATTTCTTCATTTGATCCACAGTTAGAACTCGAGGTGATGTTGGACTTCTGGGTGGTTCATTCTTTTTTGGAGAAGTCTGATCAGATGTGCTTCCTTTTTCTTTACGAACCTACACTAATTTTCTTCTTGTTGGGAGTGATTGAGTTTGATCTACCATGCCCTTGAGTCTGCAATTTGCAGTCAACGTCTTTCTATTGCTTTTTTGCATTGTAAGTGTCTCCTCAAGGTCCTTGAATTCTATATCTTAGGAAATTTTGGATGAACCACATGTTTCCACTATTTGCTTGGAGATCTGGATGGTGGTTTCACCATTCTAGGCTTTTCTGAGTGTTCAGATATCATAGTTCCCTGATCTCTATTATTTTTATGTTAAGTTGGATTATTCCCCCCGTGCTTTCTCCTTTGGGATAAGCCTGATCTGATTTGATTTCTACGAGCCCTTGCCTCTTCAATGACCCACCTTAGATCATCAGCTACAAGTCTGCGCCTGGATTATGGTTGAGTTCTGTCTTTAGCAATACTCCTAAGATCTGCTGTGTTCACCCCAACAAACATGCTAGGGAATGGATCTGCATCAACTCCCATAGTTTCTAGAAAATGCAAAATTCCTTTGTCGATTTTATCCTGTAAAACGTTTCATAAAATCATACAATCATTAGTAGAATGTTTCCAAGAATTATGGTATTTGCAATATTCTCTACTTCTAATTTCGCCAGCCATTAGGATTTTATGTCCCAACGGCAACTTAATTAGACCACTCTTTTTAAGGTGGTCAAAAATTTCTTTAGTCTTTGATATGTCATAGGTGTATTGTTTCCCAGCCTTGCCGGCATAACACTTTACTATTTTGTCAGTCTGTTGGGCCACTTTAATCAAATATGGGCAAACAATTGGCTTGTCTGCCACCACTTTTGCTACATCTAGATCAAAATTAGCCTCACCATAGTAAGTCCCATGAGATGCAGATTTCCTTTGTGTGTCCTCTCACAATAAATTTTCATAACGTGCCACCTTATAAGACAAATCAAAGAAATCACGAAACTCCATTCCCTTAATCTTTTTCCTTACTCAATGTCCAGACCATTTTGTACCAGCTTGACAAACTCCTGTTTTGGCAAGGCAACTCTACACTTAAGTCTGGCCTTCTGAAATCTAGTAAGGAAAGCCTCAGTTGTTTCTCCAGGTCATTGCACCAAACGAGATAAATCTACAATGGACACTTCTGGCTCACTACGGTAAAACTGGATATCGAAAAGATCTTCCATCTGCCTCCAAGTATAAACTGCATTCTTTGGTAGATTCATATATCAGGTAAGAGTTGTACTAGTTAAAGAGTTAGGAAAAAGTTTGAACTTCAGATTATCATCACTAGAGGCCTTGCCACATTGAATTGTGAAGTGGCCTATGTGTTCAATTGTAGGATATTCACCATCTCTAGAAAATAAGGTGAATTTTGGAACCTTGAATCCCCTTGGAAAAGGATTCTCTTGGTCTATAAAATTTAGATATGGTTTTCTGTAAGCTGGTCTGACTAGAGGCAACGACTATAAAATCTGGATAAGAACCATAAGCCTCTTGCACTAGATCAATGATCTGATTACGGTTGATGTACTGACCTGGCAGACCTTGAAGATTCTGTTGCATGGGTGGCACATAAGGCTGGAAAGTGGAGGTGCATTATGTTGTGGATGCCCTCCATTTAGTCGACGTTGAGGTGGTAAATATCTGGGCTATTGGGGATTGCCCAGTTCTGCTGCATGTGGTGCAGCCTTTATAGGTTCTGGCTGCACTAGTCCACCTACTGCTTGTTGATTCTAGGGAGGTGGCTGTGACAAATTAACTTACCCCCCGAGTGTTGGAGTTGGAATATTTTGGTTCTGCCTTTGAAGATCTGCTGCTTGTGGTTGAGGTTCAACTTTGGCACATGAAAATGCCTCTTTTGTTTCAGTTTGAAAAGCTCTCCAATTTTCTGCATTTTGCTCACACTAGATTCTTGCACTTTCTTCATTAGAGTGCCGCATGTTAGATACATTTTGAGCTACACTTTGGGCCAGATTCTGAAAAGACTCATCTAATTGTCTAGCGATCTCTTGGCTTTTTTGTTGAGCTTTTTCCTCAGATTCCAACTATGTCTGCCTCATTATGCTAATCTGTTCTGACACAGCTTTCATAAGGGAGTCACCAGATTGAGCAACATCATCTCCAAATTCACTATCCTTATTGAAGGTTGGATTGACAAAAGAGTGCTCCCCAAGTATTGGTGATAATGGTGGTGGGATGATGTGCTCATTTTCTCCTCCTGAGTGTGCTGGACTGCCTTCACCAAGCCCAATCTGTAAAGTCTAGGCAGCCTTCCCAATGTTTCTTTTTGGTGGCATAACTACACCTTTTCTTGAAAAAAGGAACAACAAATCTGAAAACTATAAGTAAGACATGGTGATTGCCCACCGGGCATGCCAAAAAGGATTGTTTCTCCAAAAATCCTCTAGTGGCGTCAGACATGTGAAATTTGGATGCGGGTGTGCCATATACTTTGTTGAAAGTAAGAAAGGAAGACTTTTCCAACGACCCTCTCCTTCCTCACGGTCAACCTCCTTACGGATGGCAGGAAGAACGTTGGATTAAAATTGAAATCTACACCGACAACTGATTTGCAAGAGGGAGGGATACCTTCTTGCAGAATGAGTCACAAAATCTGCCTTGGACAAGTCCAAGGACTTAAACACTACCATAAATTAAAATTAACAAATCCTAATTAAACTAAATAGCATGCAATTTAAAGTAAATTTATGAGAACAAGATGTACCCAAATTAAATTAAAAATATTCATTGCTAAATTAAAATGTTGTTTACTGACAGATTTAGAAATTAAACGACTGCAAAATTGGAGATTTTACCCTAATTAAAACTAAAACGAACATGAATAGAGATTAAACTAACATGCTTGAAGTTAAGAATAAGCGTGAACGTCATATAAGTAATTATTGAAGAAATGTTATTTATCATAAACATTAAATTAAATGCAAACAGAAAAGGAAGATTACCTTGAAGAAATTTGAAAGATTGAAGTTCATTGCATGAAATGAAATTGTTGAAGCGAATACATGAATTAATTTGCCTACTGGAATGATGAAAAATAACTTAGATCTATTGGAAATTGTGCTGAAATCCAAAATCTAGAAGCAATTGTAGAGAAAATAAAACTTTGAAAATTTGCAGATGTTTGAGTAGGGTTGGCTGTGTGTTCTCCCTTCCAAAATTTCCTTTTTGTTCTCCTTTGGCTAGTACTAACTCCTCACTTTCTACAGTTACACAATTGTGGGTGGTTTTTTAAGGTAGTGGGGCAGCTCAACAATTGACATAGTCAAATCTTCTTCCAGATTTTTGCCACATGTGCCCTTATCAAATAACTCCCTTCTACAACTGCAGTCTCCTCCTAAATTTTAGCTAAAACAGTCTCTTTTTGACTTAAAGTGGTAATTACACAATAAAATCTTATCTTTATCTCCCTTTTTTGCGAATGTGACAGCTGATTTGTCATGGAGCTCATAATAACAAATTTGACATAACATAATCTCCTCCATCTATTTAAAAATTTTTTACACATGGCATTATCTTAAATTTTTGTAATTTATGGTGTAAACAAATTTATTTTAAAAGTGAATTATTTTTTATTGATTTAAAAATTTATTTAAAGAAATTATAAAAATTAATTTTTAAAATACTCTATCAATCTCAAAATATAAGAGATATTAAAAGGGAGAAATTGGAAAGGGAAAGGTTTAGGTTATACTACTGAAGTGAACTTGGTAAAGGTGAATGTAGTTTTTAAACAGTATAGCACTTGAACCTAATGTTTTGTAGTTTGAATGACAAAATAATTTTTGTTTTTTGATGGTACTTTATGGGTGGCCTTGTCTGTCTATAAATTTGTATGTGTGGCAATAAGGACAACCACATCTTCCCCACTTATTTCCATCATATGGAGCCCTTAATTAGCTTGATGCACATTTCACATTTTCATCATAACTAATAGTCCACTAATTTCTCTGACGGCGGTGAGCCGGTGACGATGAGGAAAACAGACAATCCATCAATATGTAAGCTGCAAAGGAGTTGAGACATGGCGGAGAAGCAAGAGAACTATCAAATTTTAGGGATTTTGCAAAAATTAGATCTGTTATACGCAAGGGCTGATGAAGCATTGGGCATGGGCGATGGGTGGTAGAGAATATTGTAGTGGCGGTTAAGATCGAGAGATGAAATGGGATGGTGAGAATGGAGGAATCCGGCAATAGACCGGCGGGACCTCCCGGCGGAGCAGCAGTAAACGCCAAGGGGCGGTTTCTCTGCATCTGGAGAGCGGATACTTCTAATCTCTCTCTCTCTCTTTGTTTTTGGTTAATTTAAATTATTAAATTCCAAAAAAATAATTTTTATATATTTTTTTTCTCTACCGGTCAAAGCCAGCGGACATACTACAGCCACACCCCACATGTATTCAGTTTTTTCAAGCTGTCCAAATCCCTGGGTGCTCCCACCAGGACGACGCCCATTTTCAACATCATGGTTCCCTCTTTTTATTTTGATCAATGCGGTGAGTATTTTCTATAAAATAGAGATTATAATTGAAGTCAAAGAATGCTGCTGATGATCTGTCTAGTGACCATATTACTAGAGTTGTTGGGCGACAAAAATGTTAATCAATACTCAAGAATTCAGTTTTTTATCATTTAAATTATATTAAATTTTATTAAATTAT